CCATCAGCTGAAAAAACCACCTGTGCAACTAATGTGAATAATATACGTCAAAGCCAGAGAAGAAAATAATGATAATGATAAAGGATCAGCATACCTACTGCCAAGCAGGACTTAAGTGCCAGTTCAGAGTAGTGAAAGCTCAGCAGGCACTAAGCCATCAAGGCCCTCTTTCCCAGCCTGCCCAACAACTTGCCCCTCCCACAATAGGGACTAGAAGTGAATTGTCACTAAGGTACAGCCATCTTGTTGCCTTACTAACGTAATTGGAGAGTTGTAGCATAACGGGGCAAGAGGAATGAACAAAACGCAAAAAATGCCATTAAGGCAAGTTTGTGCTGTAAACTACCAATAACCCAACTATAAGACTGGCTTGGTTCCCCCAAGGACAGCCTGCCTCTCCCTCAAAATGGAAGAAAATTAGGTCAACTGAGCCAGCAGGTCAAGAGGTATGCTAACTCCTGAAAGCTCTTTAGAACACAGGATCTGAGGTCTACAGTCATCTAGTCCAATCCTCTTTTATAGATGAGGAATCTAAAGCCTGGAAAAGTTAAATGACTTGCCCAAGGTTACACAAGTAGTAAGCATTAGCAAGATTTTGGACTCACGTCCTTTGACCTTTACCATGCTGTGTCATCTTCCATCAGCCTCAGCTTGACTCAGACCCTAACCAGAGTAATCCTGGGTTCACACTCTGGGCTCTATGACTTCAGAGGACCAAAGAGAACTCTGAGATACAAGCCACAAATATGAGGAGGGTTCTAAAGACCAACAAGATTTAAAAACCAAAGGTTTATCTAAAAAGTTAACAAGTTCTCTAGCATGATAAAGAAAATGCTGAGGGGGTAGCCTTACAAAGGTATTTAATAGAGAATTACTACAATGATTAAGCAGTACTACTAAATTATACCTTACTTCAGGGAGAAAAGGCACTGAATAGAAAAACTGCAGTAAACATAAGGAGTTACAGTAGAGAGTACTGGACTTGAGTCAAGAAAACACAAATTTAAATTCTGAACTATTTCCTAATGGATAAAAGGAGGATAATAATAGCATTTCCCCTTTCTAGGGTTACTGTGAGAATCAAATCAGATATATTTGCACGTCAAGTCAACGAGCATTTACTAATGGTTAGCATTTACTAACTAAGTGCAAGGCACTGTACTAGGTGCTAGAGATATAAAATAAGACAAAAAGCACTCTGCAAACCTTAAAGGACTACGTAAATGTTAAGCAGTATTAAAAATAGTCCCAACGTTGGAAAACACTGATATGCTTGCTCTCGGAAGCAGTGAAGGAAAATATTGCCTTTTGACCCTGGGAGCCTATAATTTATTTCAAACTTTCAACATTCTAAGCTTTGGGCTAAGACGGGTTGTGGCTATCCAAAGAATGACCCTTCTGGGTTTACCTTCCTCACCATTAAGAACCTACTACCTCAGGGGCCGGGTTCCCTGGGCACTCCAACCAACAAAGGTTAGCAGCTCTAGTAGGTCCCCAACACCAGTTCAAGCCTAACTTCAAAGATAGCCGGTAATAAATCTAAAGACTGAAACCATTAACAGACTTCACAGGGGAGAGAAAAGAAAAGGAATCATCTCTAATCTCGGGAGCTCCTAAAGAAAAGGAAACCAGATTTCTCATCTGCATAACAAGAAGCAATGAAGTAGGCCATTTAAAGGGGCCAAACCAGTGCCCCACCCCAAAGATTTGTTCTCCCCGCCTCCCAAAAAGCAGCAAACCTACCTTCCATCAGAATTCCGGTAAGTGATGTCAGCACCACAATGCCAAGCTTTAGCCAGAGGTAGGGTGGTTCTTCCCCATAACCCCACGACGCCTCCTCACTGGCTCTGCACCAGGCGTGTATTCCCCAAAGGAGTTAATAAATTTCACTAGGCAGTCAAGTCCGGGTCCACCCCGCCCTCAATAGTCGCCTCGGCCCGGCAGACTTAATTTCCCGAAACTGGCTGGTTCCCACTTCTCAACCAGGATTCGGCCCGTGAGCCCCAGTCCTCACGTGGCTTGTTCCCCCAAGCCGGCGGCACTGGGCCCGGCATCGGCACAGGCCGGGGCCCTGGAGGAACCACCTACTCAAGCCGAGGAAAGCCCCGGCGCCCGCGCACGCCTCCCCATCCTCCGCCCTCCTCCATCGGCGGCTCTCCCAGAGGACAAGCGCAGTGCAGGTGTCCTGGGCCCAACACTCCTCGCAAGCGGCGGCGGCCCGAGGGCCAGACTAGGCCCAGCGGGGCCGGGCCCCTTCCCCCCGCCCACTGCTCCCACGGGAGACGCCGGGGCCTGCATGACACAGCAGGATCAGGATCTGGCCCGGGCCCGGGGCTCCCAGCGCCGCGTGCCCGCTGGGCCGGGCTCGAGGACGCACGCCGCAGAGAGATGGCCCGCCTGGCCTGCGGCCCATCCCCAGCATGAACTGGCGCCCGGGGCCGGGGCCTACCCAGCTCGGTCGCCCGCCCGAGGCCCGGGTCCCGGGGCCCATGCGCGCCCCCGCGGGGGGAGGGGACGCGCAGGGGAGACACTTACTCGGCTCCCGAGGCCATGGCGCGCGCCTGTCTCCCGGCCGGCGGCGCGCGGGTAACGGCTACGAGGGGCTGGCGGCGGGCGGCTGGGCCCGGCGGGGCTCGGCTCTCCCAGGCGGACTGTGGCGGTTCCTCCGGGTGGGTTCCCTCTCGCTCTTACCACGGAGGTGGCGGTGGGGAGGGCGGGTGGGGAGGGCTCCGGTTTCGGGAGAAGGAAGCGCTAGCGACTATGGCAGCTGCTCCGGGCGCTTCAGGGAGACTGAGCTGAGAAGAGCCGAATCATCGGAAGGGGAGAAGCACGCAGCACAGCCAATCAGCGCCCGCGCTGCCGGCCCCCTCCCTCCCCTCCATTCCTCTCCCCGGCAACCCGCTAAGATCGACCAATCAGAAAATTCATCCGTAGATCCGCGCCCGCCCCTGGGGTGCAACACGCCTGGTAACGCAATGGCCATTGGCTACGGCGCTACGCTTCCTCGGCGGACTAGGAAGCGCAGCCAATTAACAGGCAGAAGGACGTCAGATGGACAGACGAGAGAAGGGAGCTTGCTTTCTCTGAAGTGGACTCTCCCACTTGGCCCCAGTTCATTGGCTCCGAGGGTTAGCGCTCCAGGGTTCCCCAGTCAACGTTAGCACAATGGTTTGGGTCCTCTTTCCTCTCCTATTCCGGCTATCGACTCCCACTTCAATCCATCTTCTTCCTGTTACCCATTCCAATCCCCACTCACTTTCCAGTCACCTCCAAATCCCCCCGTTCTAACCGCCTTCGCTTTCCCCGCAAAATTTTCAATCACCCTCTAACCCTGTGTCCTAATCTTCAATCCTATCATTCCAATTCGATTTTGTCCAAAAACCTGTCACTCCAGGCCTCTCAGTGACCTCAGTGCTATAGGTTGTCACCCAGAATCTCACGTACCCTTTAACCTTTGCGTCACTCAAACCCTGATCAATCCCCGAGTCCTCTGGTCTCGATGATCTGCCGTGGACTCCAGAACTTCTACCTCTACCTCCACCTCACCTCATCCCTTCCAGTGTGCATTTTCCTATGGCTTTAATTAGGTCAACGTCTTCTCACTCCCCAGTCCAACTGTTTCTCGGAGAATGATAGCCAAAGACTACATATCCCAGCATACACTGCATGTCCCTTACTTCTCCAGAACACTGCATGCTGGGACTTGCAGTCCTTGGCCCCAAAACTCAATCCACCTTTGAACCTAGGCCCTAATACTTTACTTCTGGTTCCAAAAATGGGAGAAGAGAGGGTAGCCTTTCCAAAGCACTACCCCTCTCCCAGGATTTCACCACCTGAATTTTCTACTGTCCTGGCAAGCGTGCTTCCCTCTCATTCATACGCCCTCCTCCCAGGAAATTCCCAGCTGACCCTTGCTTTCAGTTCTAGATTGGATTTGTCCCAGACCTGATGGCTGTAAGCTTCTGATTTTTAAGGAAATGTGGTGAAATGGAAAGGGTGCCAGATTTGGAGTCTGGAGATGGGTTCAGAATTTTACCAGCTATGTGGTCCCACACTTTCAGAGGCTCAGTTTTTTCATTGGTAAAGGAGATAATACACTATCTGCCTCACAAGGTTGTGAGGAAAGCGCTGTGCAAACATCTAAGCATTATATAAATGTAAACTATGATTATTATTGGTCACTGGGTTTTCTTTTATTCTGATTTGTGTCTCATCCATTAGTTTGGTTTATTCTGGGGACAGGGACCCATGTCTTCTCTTTACAGGTTGCTCTAGGGTCTATCTCAGGGCTCTTAAGACAAGAGACAGATCAGAGTAGCATAAAGACAAAGCTTGTTTTTCTGATACTTTCTCCAATAAGAATAGAAAGGAAAGCCCATGACCTCACAAGTCATCATTGACCTTTCAGGTCATTGAGTCTCTCTCAAGAAAGCCCAAATTCGGCAGCTAGGTTGTGCAGTGGATAGAGCACCGCCCCCCTTGATTCAGGAGGACCTGAGTTCAAATGTGGTCTCAGACACATAACATTTACGAGCTGTGTTACTCTGGGCAAGTCACTTAACTCCACTGCCTAGCAAAAAAAAAAAAAAAAAGTAAGCCCAAATTCATATCTTGTACATAGCCAATATATCCTGGATAGTTTGTACATGGTTGTTTGCATGTTATCTTACCCATTACTATGGGCTCCTTGAGAGCAGGGACTGTCTTCTACCTTTTGTATCCCCAGCCATAGCACAGTGCCAGGCACATAGTATTCATTTAATAAATGTTTTATTTATTGACTGACTGATCACCACAAAAACACAAATACTGAAGGGTGTTATTGCTCAAGAGCTAAGTGAAGGAAGAAATCAGATAAGGATAGGGGAAATCTAGGGGCAGCTAGGTGGCACAGTGGATTGAGCTCTGGTCTTGGAATCAGGAGTACCTGAGTTCAAATGCAGCCTCAGACACTTGACACTTACTAGCTGTGTGACCTTGGGCAAGTCACTTAACCCTGATTGCCTCACCAAAAAAAAAAAAAAGGAAAGGAAAGAAAAGAAAAGAAAGAAAAAAAGGATAAGGGAAATCTCTACTTCCAAGAGAAAATTCCTTGGAAAGTAGGGACTGTCTTCCCATTATCATCAGAATGTATCAATCAGATAAAGGGCTGTGTCCAGAGACCAGCATGTATGTGCCAAAGACAAACAATATGGACAGACAGACCAATGGAAAATTTTCCTGGAAAAAAGGAAAAGTACCAAAAAAAAAACACAGTGATAGAAGACTGACACCTAGATAGATGGGAAGGGGACACAGTGATCCTTGATTACTCATCTCTTTATGCCATCCTTCCCTATACTTTGAGTGTTGAAGGAAAATGACCAAAAAGACCAGCCAAGAGACCAAGGACATAGCTTTCCCCAACCTTACTGAAGTCTTGGCCCTAGGCTCAGCCACTCCCCTAGGCTGAACTAAGAAAGAGGCCCAAATAGGGAAGATCCCTGGGAAGCCAGGATCGAATGCCCACTAAGGGCATGTGGGCCTCTGCAGTGATTTCCGAAGCTCTTGCAAGAGGGACTCCTGCTCAGTGATTTGAATCCGGTTCATACAGGACACTAAGTACTGGGGGAGAAGACTGGAGAGAGGGAAAGGAGCATAAGAGAGATGCAAGGGCAAGCTGGTCCCCTCTCGCTCCACCCCCCACCAGCCCACCTGCTAGCCCACCGTCTCACCCCTCAGAGTCATCCTGTTCCTGGTCTGCCTCGGCCTCTAGCCTCTGATAGATTGTAATGGCCTCTTCCCTCCGCTCTAGCCTCCACAGGACATGCAGCAGATGTAAGGAAGCATTTCGGTCACCTGCATCACCCATATACCAGCCCCCCCCCCAAAATCTTCATTAGCCTTAAAGAGATTCTCATAGATGACTTCCCCCATTACATATCATGGAGCCCCTTAGAAGTCTCCACCCCTGCCCACAACAGATGGTATAAGAGGACATCAGTCCTACACCCGAGCTGGCAAAGAGAAACATATCCACAACACACATATGTATTTGTGATCACACCTGCAATGCACACCTTAGCACAGTCCACATACCTGTCTACACAAATGTAGATTTCATATGCCAGCATACATACTTGTACATGTATAAATTTCACAGCTGGGTACTACTATACATCCCTCCAAACATACCTATACACACATATACCTACACGAGACCTTCATGCTACCCATCCATACCTGGGCAAACCTGCATACCAAGGAGGAAATCCTGTAGAGCCCGGGCATCCTGGCCTTCTGCTACCCATTCCAGCCCTCGGCTAATTAATGTCACTGCTTTCAGCCTCTGAAGAACCTTCCTAGGTAAGCAGATCTCTGAAGGGAGCTCATCTTCACTGCTGGAGATCACATCTAGCAACCAACCAAGTTGGCAAACTGCCTCATAGCCAGAAAGTCCCCAGGGCAGCCCAACATCCATTCCCTATCACTCTGTAGTCCATGTTCCCAGTTCATCTGTGTCTGCCCATCCTAGTAAAGTCTCTCTCTGGAGGACACCCCATCCCTCTATAGTATCAGAAGTTCCCTTGGAGAGGGCCACAGGAAACCCAGAAGTGGTGGGAAAGGAGGAAAGAACCAGAGACTGAAGCTCACCTCCACTCAAACTTTGGTCTACATCTCCACCTGCACCTTGATCTACAACTCTGTCCAAAGGCTGTACCCGGAAGAGTAACTCAAGGCACCTAAAAGGGATGAGATAGTGTGTTTTTTGTCATGGATCCCTGTGGCAGTCCAGTGAAGATTGGTGGACCTCTTCTCAGAATAGTGTTTTTAATTGAAGGAAATGCTAATTTTCAAGTAGAGATTAATGAAAATAAAGATGTATTCCCCCCCAAGTTTATGGACCCCTGAAATCTATCCATGGACATAGGTTCAAGACCCCTGTTCTAAGAAGTAGACAGCATATGGGGCCAGACTCCTCTACCCCGAGTCCCAAAAATCCCATGTTGGTAAAAAGTCATACCCTGCCACACACACCTCCACCCACCATTCACTGTATTCTCCCCCTCACCTGCTAAATTCCTCCAGGGCTTCCCTCCGGGCCCCCAGCCCAGAATGGGCCTGACCCTGAAGTAAGTGGGCAGCTGAAGCCCATAACAGGCAGAACAGATGCTCTGAGGGCTTCTCAGAGACAGATGGGACTGTGGATAGAACAGGCCTAAGGCTAGGTCCCCCTTGACCCAGCCACAGTTTCTGGGGGACCAAAAGTGATATCCGGCTAAGCAGCTCTTCACAGACAGTCAATGAATCTTGGAATCTACCCACAATAATCAGTGCTGCTGCTGTCTCCAAGAAGACCTCGGGTACATGAGGAGCTTGAGAACCACCAGACAGGAACATAGAACACTGCATACCCTGAAGAGACACCCACCACCACTTGTGACTCCTCTGACCCAGGCCTTGTGGCCTAAGGAACAAAGGTCTGGAGATTAATAACTCCCTTCTAAGCCTTTAAGGGTCTCCTTCTAAGCTCTTCTCAACACTCAGTTCCAGGAAGTTTTCCCAGACTCAGCCTCCCTTAGCCTTTAAGAAGGGATCACTCATTGTATCCATTGTAGCACTGAGCACAGTGCCTGGTTAGCATATCCAGTGCTTAGCATAGTGCCTGGCACATAGCAGGTGCTTAATTAATGTTTATTGATTATTTTTATCCCCAGACCCTAGTATAGCCCACCCATAGTAGGCTAGCTGGTTGAGAGATCATTCGAACCTCATGAAAGGAAGATGGAGCTATTCTGCTATAATCCAGATGGAAAACCAGCATATAGCCCTCCTCCATCCTTTTGCCCAACCCTGCCTACTACACACACCTGTGACATTGATCCATCCATCAGTAAGGCCAGCAGGTCCAGAAATTGCTCCACAGCCTCCTCATTCCTAAGGATCCACAACATGGATGACCCTCTACTCTTTCCCTCCTCTAGCTCTATCCCTCCCACTACCCTTCCAGGCAGGAATGATCCTGACCACCAACATCCCAGTGACTGCTGTTACCCAATATATGGATTTTTCAGGACCATGATTTCTATTCTTTCTTCCCCCAGACACCATTTCTGTGTCACTGCCCTGCACTGGGGGAAGGAATGATCACACTTTGTTTCTTGGCATTTAACTGTTCAATGGTTAGCAAGAAAGACAAAGGTCAAGGAAATGGGGAGAAGAGAAAAGGAAACAAGAATTATTAAATGCCTACTATGTGCCAGGCACTATGCTAAGTGCTTTACAAATACTATCTCATTTAATCCTTGCCAAAACTCTGGAAGGTAGGTGCTAGTATTACTCCCATTTCACAGCTGAGGAAACTGAGGCAGACAGCGGTTAAGTGATTTGCCCAGAGTCACTCAGCTGGAATCTAAGGCTGGATTTTAACTCAGGTCTTCCTTCCTAACTCCAGGCCCAGTGCTCTCTCCACTGTACCACCCACATTTACAGCCAGGGGAGAGAGAGAGACCTATCATTTTCTGTTCCTGATTGTGTAGAAAGCAAGATGAGATATACATGGGTGTCTGCATCTCTAACCACCTTAGACTGGAGAAATAGGGCTAACACTGGGGTGGGGCAGGATCACAGGACAATGAAGTGAGAAGGCAGAGTTGGGGGCAGGCTGAGGACAAAGGCCAGGAAGAGAAGATGCTAGAGATTCCTGGATGGACTTGGGCACTTGCCCCAGGTCCACCGCTAACTTGCTATTTGACCTTGAACAAATCATCTCTTTCTGACACTGTTTCCCCACTTGCAAAATAAGGGGGTTTGACCAGACAGCTCTGAATTCCCTTTATCTCTGTACCCCCAACACCTCGCACAGCGCCTGACCCTGCAACTATCACTTCACAAATGTGTGCTGACTGATTTTGGCTCTAATAGTCTATGATCCTAGGAAGACAGGAAGAGGGAAAGGGAAAGGAAAACACCAATACCTGCCTGTCTGGAGACACCTGCTTGCCAGCATGTGCTTGACCTGGCTCTGGGTCCCACAGTAAAGAGAGGAGGCAGGACTGGGTGGAGTGATCAGAAGTTCTACCGCAATAGGGAATAAGGGTGGCCTGGGGCTGTGAGGCATAGTCAAAGCCTGTAAGAAACAGTAGATGGTAGAGAAGGGCCTGACCCTACCAGCCCATCCTATGGATTGGGATTACATTCCTGTCTTATTCCCTAAGATGCTGCTCCCTGCCAACCCTAGGAACCACAGGGCTCCCTGTGCAGCGACCCCCAAGCCCATGTGCATACCTCCACCAGTAGCTTTAAGCTGTCCAGTTCAGCTGTGGTGTGGCCAAGCTGTCGATAGAGTCTGGCAGCCTCCAGAAGAGGGGGCCCTTGGCCCGGGTCTGCCTTGAGAGCTTCAAGAAGATGCAGCAGTGCCCTCTGTGGATGGCCCTGGGATACAGAAGGAGAAAGTTACGAAAAAGACATGAAAACAGGACCCAGGTCACTCACTGAATCCCCTCTCCCAGGAATCCTAGCCCACACAGAAAGCCTTCCTACTCCACGGAACCCCTACACTTAAGTATATGGGTTCCTGCAGAATCTCCTCAGAAAAGGACCTCAAAGGCCAACTTGTCCACCCAACCTAAAACTGAATAAGGATACCCTCCACAAGATGCTCAACACTGGGTCATCCATTGAACACTTCCAGTGATGGCAGACTCACCACCTCCTGAAGCAGCCCATTCCACTTTTGGACCACTATGATTGAGAGGAAGTTTTTTTTTTTTTTCCATTCAAGCCCTAAATCTGCTTCTGCAACTTCTCCCAGGTATTTCTAATTCTGCCTTCCAAGAAACAGAACAACTCTATTTCCTCTTCCAAATGACAGCTCTTCAGTATCTGAAGGCAGCTGTCATGTCACACATAAGTCTTCTCTCCTCTAGGCTACACATGCTTAGATCCTTCAGCCTCTCCTTAGATATCATGAAATCAAAGCTCTCCCCACCCTAGCTGCCCTCCTCAGGACATTATATCCTCTGGATACTTCTAGCTTATCAATGCCCTTCCTAAAATGTAGCCCTCAGAACTGCACAGGGTGCCCCAGATATGATTTGACTAGGCCTGAGAACAGGGAGGTGGCATTGCCTCCCCAGGCCTAGCCCTCAAGCATCTCTCACTGTAGTCTAACATTGGCATCTGCTTTTTGGTCAATGTCCTATCACATTGTTGAGCTGTACTGAGCTAACAACTCAATAAACATATATTAAATGCCCACCACGGGCAAGGTAATGAGTTGGGTGCTGTGGACCTACCAAAATAAAAGAGTCCCTGCTGGGATGGAATTTATGTTCTATTGGGTAGGATACAACTATATGCAGGGGTTCAGTGGCTAGAGCACTGGACCTACAACTAGGAAGACTTGAGTTCAGATCCCATCTCGGGCACTTACTATCTGTGGGAGCCTGGGCAAGTCATTTGACCTCTGTCTGCGTCAGTTTCTTTATCAGTAAAATGGGGATAATACTAGCACCTATCTCACAGGGTTGTTGTGAGAATAATGTATGATAGTATTTTTTTAAAACAAGTATACATACAAGCACAAAATGTATATGAAGTAGTATGATAGTTTCCAGAGAGGCAGACATTAACAACTGGGGAAAATCAGGAAAGGCCTCCTATAGGAGAGGACACCTGAGCTGTGTTTGGAAGGAAGCTCAAGAGTCCACAGTGTGAAGGTGGTGAGGTGAAAGCTAAGGTGTTATGTACAGGGGTGATCTGGAAGCAGTTTGCCTAGATCCACTAAAAAAGCCTTTTCAAACCATTGTCCAGTCACGTCTTCTTCACCTTGTATTCATGGCCTCATGGATGCTTTGGACCCAAGTGTCAAAGGTTATCTTTGTCAGCATTACATTTCACCTTGCTAAATCTGGCTCTAGACTATCAGGATTTTGTTGAATCTTGACCGTCACCCAGTGTGGCAGTTATCTATCCCTTCCAGCTTTGTATCATCTACAAATCTGACAGGTGTGTCACCTGAATCCAGGTTATTGTGATAAAAACATTAAAGAGTGTAGAGCCAAGCACAGATCCTTGGGCCATTCCATATTTAAATATCAAACTATTAATTATTCCTCTTGGGGTCTGGTCATTCAACAAGTTCTAAATTCATCTATCATTTACTATTGTCTAGCCCCTATCATCCCATCTTTTGCAAAACAACAGCATGAGACACTGACAAATACCTTTTAAAAAATCTAAGTACATCTGCAGCATTACCCAGTCTAGTAGGAAATGAGATTAGTCTGACGACCCCCAGTGCCACACGAAGCTGAGCATCGTCTCCTCCCAACCCAGGGTCTTTCCCTTTTCCTATTACCATTTTCCGAAGACAGGCTGCCAAAGCTGTGTGGACTTGAGCCAGCACGGAACGGGGGCACAGGCTGAATGCTGCTTTCTGCAGGCTGCTCAAGGCTAATGGCAAGTTCCCCACATGAAGCTCTTGAAGACCTGGGAAGTATCAGGAGGGAGATCTGTTGAAAGGGGTTGGAGCTGGGGTGGGAGGTGGGGCTGAACCCTTGGGGCCCAAAGGAGGTTACAATGATATTCACACATGAAGACCTACCAAAAAGAAAGGGAAGGGAAATGAAAAATGGGGAGGTTAGCTACAAAAGAGACCAAGATCCTTGCCCCTCCCATTGACCACATAGGTAAGGGGCATATGCTAAGCAAGAGAAGGAGATATGCTCTACAAGAGGAACTCCTTGGGGCTAGAAGGAGGAGAATATGTAACCCATTTCCCTTCATGTCTTCGGGCTGGATGTAGGGGCACAAACCTAGGCCCTCTGCTCACCTTGGTGGAATGCAGCTGTTGTAAGAAGGACATCCCTCAGACTCCTGGCATCCTGTAGGGTCAATGGAGCATCCAACTCTTCAAAGCAGGGGTCCCACACACTTAGCAGTGACAGCAGGTCCTCAGCAAGTCCAGGGAGAGGAACCCCACTCTCTTTGCACTTGTTTGGCAAGTAGCTGGAGTTAGAGACCCCAAAAGGCCCAGAAATCCAGCCACCAACTCTACCCTAAGGAACCCCTATCATTGAGCCACAGAGGGGCTCTCCTCTGCCCCTCCTCTCCTTTCACTAACCCAGCCCCACTCCAGCCAAGAGCCCAAAGCTCTTACATCCCTGCCTCCCCAAATATTAGCATCCCAGATTGGAGCTAGGTGGACTCAAGAGGTTAATACACTGGGGAGGCAGTCAGAATAGGGAAGGGGAGAATTTATGGGTGGCACAGGATTGGGGAAAAGAGCTTAGACATATACTGCCACTATTTCTCACCTGGCTATTCATCATGGTACATAAGAGTACAGCTAGATCTCCAGGACGGTTATCTGTCAGCCATATGGCCCCTTGTAGGCCCACCAAGTGGTGTAGGGAGGGTAGCATCTCAGAAGGTATGAAGGGATTTTGAAAGATGGTCTTCCATAAGTCCCCTGACTGGGGCAGTAGCACCCCTTGGGCATTTAGCACTACAGAGCCATACATGGTTAGAGAGGGCACTCAGAGAAGCCAAGACAACTTACATGATCTTTCCTCATGTTACCCCACCCCTTTTCCAGATAAATTGTGACTTTTGCTCCCCCACCCT